ACTGATTTGTTAGGGTTGACAACACGACTCCATTCTGCATCAGTGACTTCGGTGATGTAGCCGTGACGACTGAGGGAGTACAAGCCACTGTGCACTGTTGGTGATGGATATATGGCACTAATCTCGGTATTGCTGACAACAGCACACCTCTCTGGCTTATCTTCGTTTCTGCTTGATACTCTGCTTGCTGTCGAATCTGGATTTTGGATTTTTTGGAGGTGAAGAAATGATTTAAAGGCAATGATTATAAAATAAACTAAGCCAGCAAGACTAGATTATCTCTCTCTCTCTCTCTCTGTGATGAAACGATGCTCAACTAGTCAGGCCATCGGGTATCGAACACAGACATGGAATGTGGGGTACAGAAAAAGAATAAGGAAGAGTTATTTACATTCTCTTGGTATTCCATATGATTATATAGTTCAGGAATATCCTCATTTCTTTCTCAGAGTGAAGGATCTTACCTATAATTAAAGCTTCCCATTTCTCAGCCTTTTGTGTTCGGCCGTTGGTGAGAGTGGCAGAACACTCGTAGTAACCACTCAGGTTGTATCTTAGTTCAGTTAGTTCGAGGCTCCCATCAGAGCGGCCTAGGTTAACAACCCGATTCAGTACGCCTGAAGCTGTTTGGATGGCAGGAAAGGCTGAATTAGCAGTGTGGTTATTTAGTTAGACTTTGACACTATACATCACAATCAAAAAGCCAAATTAAACATCAATTATATCTCAAGTTTAACCTGAAAACAAAATAAATTATCATATATAATCAAGTTGACCAGACCACACACTAGAAGGTGAAGGGACGACAACGTTTCGGTCCTGGACCTATTCTCAATCGACTTGAGAATGGTCCAGGACGGACCGAAACGTCGTCGTCCCTTCACCTTCTAGTGTGTGGTCTGGTCAACATACTTTAGCCCCGTTATTGTGACTCATCGCCTGCAGACAGAATCAACGTCTCAACGGACCTATTCCAGTGTTGGGTGGCGTCCAGTCGTAACTACCAACCACCTCGTTCCCTCTTGGGCCCAGCATCTTCCAGGAGATCATCTTCAGTACCTCCTTCTCGTCAGCCTCCAGTACGACGGGACACTCCAAGACACTGTTGTTCTTCGACGGACCCGAACGGTAGTCGATGTAGCGGCCATTGCTCACCAGCCGTACGGGACCGACCTCAATACCCGAGCTCACACCTGTTCATCAACATACGCGGGTAAATGAATCTAATTAATCAATTATTGATTAATTACACACTGAAACCACAATAAAGTGATATGACTGACAATTTGGAACAGGACAACGGGATCGAAGCAGCGGCTCATGGGACGCAAGATCGATCCCACCGCCGTGCTCCAAAGACTTTTTCCACACTTCATACATGGATGTCTTGCTCACAGCATCGCTTCATCTCAATGCAGTGATGCGTTGTTGAGCACCTGACTCAAACAACCCATTTCAGGGCTCAATTGGACGAGGCCCACTCTCCCACGGTGAATGCAAGTTGTGAAATATAATTATATTTACGAAACGACATTTAAAAAAAAAATATACACTAAACAAAGTCGTTCATTAAGTAATTCACCCGTTTTGATGACTGTCCCAAAGCTGTTATTTTATATCATTCGTTATCGGATGATATCACTCCAGTTTCGCTATCGTAGGGGTCACGATTTGCCTATTGAGTCATATGGGCGAGTCTAGTCAAAATATTAGGCTTAGGCCTGACGGCTGAGTGGACGGCGCTCGGGATTCGTCGTCCTGAGGTTCCGGATAATTTACTGCATTTTCTCCATGTTTTTGAATGACCATATGTCCTCTGAGAAGCCGAGCTCGTTGCCTGATTCCGTTCTCTTGAAATGCAAATTCGTAACTAAAAAAATATGAACTATCTTGCCAAATTAGAAATGTATGCCCTCGAGAAATCCAACTATCTGCACCAATTCATAGAAAACGACAGAGTAACGAAGCTATAAATTATACTAATGCATCGAATTTTAATCGGATTGGTTGATTTAGTCCATTGTTAAATGAGCTTAGACGAAGCCCACTATGATAAGACGAGCAGACGATAGTTCGGTGGGTCATTCCATCAGTTCGCGACTCCTGATTGTGATCTGACCTTATGGCGTGCTGGCTAGACCCTAACAGCCAAGAGCACCACACTCAAG